CAGTCGCTGTACCGGTTTAACACTGGCCAGTCGCTGTGGTTAAAATTGGCCAGTCGCTGTGGTTTAACACTGGCCAGCTTTGGTTAAATTGAAGGTGAGATGCACAAAGATGCACCATACATGCATTGCTTATGAGTTCATGAGCAAGAGGTCAATGATGGTCAGATTTTATGCATCATCTCAGAAAATGTGTCATGGACAGAACCCTCAAACGGATGATCCACGAGGCTGATGGAGAAACAGACAAGAGAGATTCTATATCTTGAGAAATAATCAGAAACTGGCAGGTTTTTAAGCCCAGGATTTCTGAAGGGTGATTTCTTCTGAAGTGTAACAGGGAAGAGAAGTGAAAAGCCTGATGAGTCTACTAGCATCTTTCTGCCTGATGTGACCTCCCCAGCAATCAGCTGTGAAGAACATGACACTGGCTCTGGTGGACTGACGAAGCGTATAGCAGTTTGCTGAATAACGTTGAAAAACCTGCAGAAAAACAGCTTGCTCTGCTCCCCCTTGCAGGCTCCCTCAGTATCGTCATGCTGGTCCAGCCTGTCATCAGTTTAGACACTAAGTCTCTGTCCTCTATTACACTCTCTCCTTAGAGGGTCATGGTGGCCAGCATTTCTGCCTTAAATCCATCACCAGCTCCTGTCTCTTTCTGACACTAAGCTGCAGATGGTTCTTACACCAACCAGTAAAAACGTCCCCCAGTCTTCTGTACTCCTCTTCTCCTGTACCTCCTCTTCCCAAAGTCTGTGGTGTAAAGAGTAGAGATGACTTAACCCGACCTGTAACCCTGCTTTCCAAATAAACCCTACAGCCAGGGCTGTAGTAAGGATTTTTTTTAAATATCGAGGTCCAAAGTCTTCCTAGATGTGCCTGTAATGGATCGTGGTTAATGGAGTTGCAGAAAAAATACTGAGGACTTGATCTTGGTGTCCTCAGTGGTAGGTATGACCATGCATATGACAGTGTTACTCAGACCATGAAGAAAAAGAAGATAAGCACCTGTCCTCTGTCTCCTGAGCCTCCTCACCTCCTTCTGTTCCCCTCCTTTCTCTTCAGGGATATCTAAGTAATGTCTAATGACTAATCTTTCAAAAGCACATCACATTAAGTCTGTGACACCTTGTGAACCCTTAGCAATTTTCTGCATGAATGCCTCCTATAATGTGATCTGATCGTCGTATTAATCGAAATTACAAACAAACAAACATGCAGCATTTTATCTTGCTATGTCTTTGCTGAACAAACAGTTTTAATGATCAAGGTCATTGATATAAATAGTATATGAACCCCTAGGAAAATGGCTTCCTGAAGTGAGACTAAGCGGAACCAGGTTCTCCATTCAGTTCCAGTTTGACCTGCCCTACCTCATAAAAACCCCCCATGTGGTCACATGCTCTTCAGCGACGGAGTATGATATTTGCCGTCACTGGCCTCGTGTTCCTACAGGCAGGGAGGCAGCTTCTGTAGCACTGTGGGTATTTCTAAACAGGCCTGTAAGCAAAGAACTGAGTTAAGAAGTATCTGTGGTATTTAACAGGCACTCTTATCCAAAGCAGTGGATGGGAGATGAACTAGAAAAGCAGGGTTGCTGCTGGAAGAGGTGTTGATGTGGCCAACAGGGGAGCCCATCCAGTGGTCTGTGTGGATCCCAGTGCCCCAGTGATGGGGACACTTGTAAAAATGGTTCCGTCCTTCGGATGAAATGTAAAACTGAGGTCCTGACTCTCAGAGGTTATAAAGGATCCCTGGGCATCTTTCGAAAGACTAGGGGTAGCACCCCGATGTCTTGGCTAGACTCTGTCCGCTGTGGCCCTATGAAATGTGGCCTCCTAATCATCCACTAACTAACTGGTGAATTCTCTCCTGCCCTTTCACCCCCTTAGCTATTATGTGATGCGCAGAATGACTGCAATCTCATCAACCCGGTGGGTGCTACACAATGGTCATTGAAGTGGTTCTTTATTAAAGAACTTTAGATGCCTTGAAAAAATAACAGTCATGCATTCAAAGTGACATACAGTTGCGAAAGCTTCCTTAGCATGCTTTTGAGTGAATCTTGTGCTCCTACTACAGGGAAAATGCTGCATCCTTGTGAAGGGTTCCTAATGTTTGTTCTCCTTATTTGATTTTCAAATTGGTTTCCATCCCAAAGAGACAGTCATTAAAAGGAGACTTCAGAAAAAAAGTGTTTAGCTTCATGCCTGATCTGTTGGGGTCCCCTGTTTGATCAACAATCTCCTTCAGCAGCAGCTGAACCAGACGCACATTAGCTGTGAGAATAAAGAGCATAGAGGGATTTCACCACAAGGTGGCACTGTGGCTCAGTGGGAGCCTCACACCTCCTGGTCTGGGGGTTTGAATGTCACCCCTACGCTGTTTCTTTGATGCTTGCTCTTCCTCCTGGGTTCACCGGCTGCCTCCTCCATAAACAGGCAGTAAGTGCCTGTATTTGCCCTTCAACACACCGGCAGTGGCATCCCATTCAGGGTGTACAGGCTGCCTTTGGTTCTGTCCAGGAGAGGTGATTAGAAGATGGATGGATGGATGGATGGATGGATGGATGGGTGGATGGATGGATGGATGGGTGGATGGATGGATGGATGGATGGCGTATTCTCAGCTTACTCTCCCCAGAGTTATACATAGCTCCTATTTGTCCACTTGAATCTCTCCAGTGTAATTTCCCAGTGTTATAATGTTATAGCAGCGCCAGTTGGACCATGGCCTTTAGCGTTTGTAGCTCGTTCCCAGCAAATCAGGATGTCAGGTGATGTTTGATACCTGTGTCACCGTCAGGTTGCAGCGTTAGCGGAGAAATCATTCCCTGTCATCTGGCCTCGTGACAGATGTCATCACTGTTTTTTTCCTGGCCACTGGTTTGATAATGCTGAGCAGCACTGTGTAACAGCTGAAACTGAAATTGCATAATGCCTAGACTAAGAAGAGGTAATACAGATTCACTTTGCTCTCTAGCTTGTGCCCTACATAGATACTGAACAGTCATGGACACAAACTGCAATTCATTTTCATTGGGTGATGGATACAGTTAACTGTCAGAGTAAGCTTTGTGACAGACCTGGTTTTTGTGTATCGATAGTGAGCACTTTGAAGGGTATTGTAATTTGTTAAATGTAAAGTGTGATCCCTCTCTCTGCGATCGCTCTTTTAGATTGCCTCTGTGTGTGAGATGGCATTGGTGGTTGTCATGGAAACCAACTAGCAGACTTCTTGCAAAACACAGACAGACATGCACATGCAAGCTGTCCATCGAACTGCTCGAAATGAGGGTCATAGGCCACTGCTTTTTCTTCTCGGGGAGATGGACGCTTTACACGCAAGGATGCTGGAAGCAGAAGCAGGACCCCACAGACCTGCTCCCAATGTCACCCTGAAGCATCATGAGACATGCAGCCCCCTCCCGGTTTTGCCGTGATCCTCTCACGTGTCTGAGGACTGCAGCTGTCACGCTGACTGCTGTGCTAACGCTAAGGCGCATTAACACTGTCAGCCGTGCTGCACCAGTGCTGCATGTTACATAGTGTTGCACATCCATGAGGAGCCAGTGCTGAGTTAACAGTAAAACTCAAACTGATATAAGCCTCTTTCAGCCAAACTCTACATGCCAGCCTGGGTTTCTTTTTGTAAAAGCCATCCAGATTCCACAACCACTATCTAACACAGGGTCATGGTCAGTTTAAGTCCAGGCAATTGTCATATGTATGTAGTAGAATGACATTACTACTTGATAGTTTCGTTCCAGTAAATCCAAGATGACAGCAATAGAAAATAAACCATAGTAAGTGAGAGCTGGCTGCAGCCTTGTACTACAGGTCCAAGCCCTCCTGACAGGAGATGCAGGTCAGCACTAGACAGGGCTATGATTCTGCTCACCGGTGTTTCCTTGGATCATGTACAGGCTGCTGCAAGTGCAGGCCTACAGTGGAAGCCCACAGCAGTCCAGAGTTATACTTGAGAGCTCATAAAGCCCCTCCACCATTCCCAGACCAATGTCGTGATTTCTGTTTCAGCATGCACCGGTTTTAGCTAGTTTTAGTGTGGCATCTTGACCACAAATGTTCTTTGTGCTCTTTTTCACAATTCAGTGTTTCCCAATCAGGTCCATGAAGACCACAGAAGGTCCACGTTTTTGCTCCTTCACAGCTCCCTACCAGACAGTCTACATTTTTGCATTTTCCCCTGCAAAAATGCGGACTGTCTGCGGGTCTCCAGGGACCGAATTAGGAACACTGGCATAATATATTAAAGAAGGTACTCTTGTCAAGGCCTCCAGACACAACTTCTAGTTAGTGATGGCCAAATGAAGCCTCATGAACCATTTGCTTTATTTTCTGATCCCACTAGATGGTGCTCTCTGTCCAAACATGGCTTACAGCATGCTTCAACGCAAACCAAGAGCACCATCTAGTGGGGTCAGAAGATGCATGGGTCTTCAATTAACTATCACTATTGATAGTTGCCTACATCAGTAGAACGTGTTTGAACTGATTGAAGCTTCAAGTCATACAGGGGAATGTTTATTTTTAGACCAGAGAGGAACGAGATGATGTAACATAAAGAGCGATTCATTGTGTCACCTGAATGTACAGTATGAATTTCAGAACTTTTTAAGTAAAACTGGATAACAAGGTTTGCATTCCTACATTAGTGTGAACAACTGGTGTGCAACCCTCTGTATAAAAGGGTGTTTCATCTTTACAGTCTTCCTGAAACTAGCTGATTCAAACTTTTTGTTAAGGAGGGTCACCACACCAATAAAGTGCAATAACTGGGCCCCTTCCTCTTCCTTTTCTTACTTCCTGTTGTTTGTTGTGTATTTTCCTCTCACTACACCCATTACTCTTCCTTTTCTTACTTCTTGTTACATGCTGCTTGTCTTCCTCTCAATGTGCCCCTTCCTCTTCCTTTTCTCATTTCCTGTCTTTTGTTGCATTTCTTTCTCTCACTGTAACCCATCTTCTACCTCTTTTCCTGCAGATGGGAAATACATCGAAAACAAGCTTGTTTGTTTCCACCATCTCAGCAGAACATGACTTCCTCATGGGGACTCTATACAGCACTTTCTGTGAGTCTGGCCAGTTAGCCCCACCCACAGACTGCCTAATGACCCAACTATCCCCACCCACAGACTGTACAAAGATCCAGTTAGCCATACACACAGACTACCCAAAGGTCCAGTTAGCCCCACCCACAGACTGCCTTATGACCAATTAGCCCCACCCACAGACTGTCCAAAGACCCAGTCAACCCCACTCAAAGATCCAGCTAGCACCTCCCACAGACTGTCCAAAGACCCAGTTAACACCACCCACAGACTGTCCAAAGATGCAACTAGCCCCTCCCACAGACTGTCCAAAGATCCAGCTAGTCACTCCCACAGACTGTTCAAAGACCCAGTTAACCCCACCCACAGACTGTCCAAAGATGCAACTAACACCTCCCACAGACTGTCCAAAGATCCAGCTAGCCCCTCCAACACTGTCCAAAGATCCAGCTAGTCACTCCCACAGACTGTCCAAAGACCCAGTTAACTCCACCCACAGACTGTCCAAAGACCCAGTTAACTCCACCCACAGACTGTCCAAAGACCCAGTTAA